ATACGTACACATGTGTAGGAATGTGTATACGCATGAGCACAAACACACACATAGATATTTATATATGTGTGTGTATACACATACATACATACATACATACATACATATATATATATATTGTATAGACAAATCTGTACACAAACACACATGACATATGCACATACACAGGAACACTTGCGTACGCATACACATGCATGCTTAGCAATGGTGAAGATGTAGATGTGTATATGTATACAAACAGATGTGTGTCTGTGTGCACATATCATGCATACACATATACGCTACATGCAAAAGAACAGATGCATCCAAATATACGGATACCCAGAAGGTTTATGTTTTAAACCGTGCGTGCATCGCAAGAGTTCATAGAAAGTGCATGGGGTGATGGCTAACATGCACAACCTTCCATGTATGCCTACATGTACCATTACACACCTGCATAAACAATCCAAGAGCACCTAGTCACACAAACAGGAAAGCTGACTATAAATCACACACACACACGAAAACAACACCCAAACAGAAACGTTATGTACATGGCGTGTGTGTGTGTATGTATGTATGTATGCATATATCTATATATATATATAGATATATGCGCCTCTTACACAAAAAATAAGAATCGGAACAAAAAAAGAAACAAGAGAATATTATATTATTAATAATAATCATAATAATAAGAATAAATAGTAGTTCTATGTGCTCAATGCATGTTCAGATTAGGTCCTTCCCTCTAAATACGTATAGAAAAGCAAAACGAAAGAACGAGAGAGAGAGAGAGAGAGAGAGAGAGAGAGACAGACAGAGAGGGAGAGAGCGAGCCAGCGAGCCACATGATGTGGGTAGGTGCTGCAAGATACAGAAGGAACAGTATAATTATTCAGTATACTCCTGTTTTTGCTGGACAAGGTATATACAAGATCAGAATCTCAAGGAGACATGCAGGTTTCGGATGTTGCTCTCACTTCGTCAGTCAGGCGTTCACTTGACGAGTCGTGGGAATTCGGAGCATGCAGGCGTGAAGCACTTCAGCTTCAGCCGTAATGACTCGAGACATCTCCGCGAATGACAAGCATCGGAAGCCTTCATGTCAAAGGGAGTAGACTCGAGGCAGTGTCCGACTGTTAAAGATCAACAGGTAGGAGTCCAGGAATGATGCCGAAACCGTGGGGACAAACTCCTATCCGTCCTACCCTGCTAAAAGCTAAACAAGGTTCCGGGCCTAGTTGAAGGACCGAAGATCCACCTTTTGTGGATGAAAAGAGGAAGAGGGTTGGCCAAGTGGAAGTTGCTACGTCCGCAGCCTGTCCGCACTTCCGCTCGCAAAACTTGCATCTACAAGAAACTCACCGTGATGGGTGCACTGTGTGCGTCAGGAGAACTTCGCCATCGTAGTTGATGGACTCGACAAGAATCTCCGACTTACTGATGGTGAGGTCGTAGAAACCATACTGTGCCTCGCCGTACCAGTCCTCCGTCTCCTCTGGATTCGGCGTAGCCTCGGAAGTAATGCCGCCGCCGCCACCAGTCACGATGCAGGTGACGCCCATATGGTTCTTGGCGTAGTCGTCAGGAAGCCACAGCTCCTGGTCATGGCGGTGGCCCGTGACCAGCAGATCCATGCCAAGGCCACGCAGGGATGCATAGAAGTCCTGCTCATGTCCACAAGGAAAGTGCGTAACCACAATCTGCCAGTTCGCCTTGCTCTCTCCCATGAGCTGCTTGACCCATGGCTTCTGCTCCGCCCAAAGCGAGGCGAACCAGCCGGGGCAGGCATCCACGGACTCGGGTCCATCCGCTGCAGCACAGGTGGCAGAGGGCTTGTTGTTCTTTCGGCTGCACATGTTGTGGTTGGGGTCCTCCTCTGGCGGCATGGCATCGATGAAGTTGGAGTCCAAGAAAAAGTAGTCTACGTCGAAGCCGAGGTCTGCGTACACGACGGAGGTCTTGTAGTAGGGCGCGGGCATGACCCAGCGGTTGCTGGCCCAGGTGTAGGAGATCTGCTGATCCCAGCCGTTGTCAAACTTGAAGCCCCCCCAGTCATGGTTGCCCAAAACACTGAACCAAGGCTTGTTGGTGAGGCCGGCCCCCTGATAGACACCTTCGAAGATCTGGTCAAACTGGTGCTTCGTCGGGTACGAGATCTGATCCATCGGACTCCCACACGTCTTCTCAATACCGCCCCAGTAGAAGTTGTCACCTACGTTGAGGATATACTGTGGGTCGACGAGCGCAGCGCGGGCTTTAAAGGCATTGGCTACCAGAAGCTGGGGCTGATCGTCTACGCCTGCCACATAACCGCACTCTGGGGCACATGGAGCTTGGCCACGAGTATTAAAGCACTCCACGAGCTGCTTATGATCGCAGTACTGCACGTCGTGCATTTTGTTCCAGCGACTCCTGGGAAAGACGCTGGGACCCGGTCGACGACCCCAATCGTAGGCGACGATGGTGGGCCGTCCCTCTGGCGGATCGAGGGAGCCATCCATGCCACCCCAATCACCGATAGCAAAGATGTGCATCTCATGAGTTCCATGGACGACCGTGGTCGGCCAGTGCTGGCCCTTGTAGCTCATGGCAGTCTTAGGCGGAATGCACCCAACGCCCTTGTCATTCCCGTCGCAGCCAGGGCGAAGGCTGGCATACAACTGGTTGCCTGCGAAGCAATCACTGCAGGGTGGGCTGCTGCATCCCGCGCAAGGTGGCAGTCCGCAGAAGGAATCTCCTGGTGGGGCACAGTAGTACAGCCGCTGGAAATCCTGTAGGTTGCCTTGCTCGTGGTTAACGCCGGCGATCGAAGGCATGTTGTGAAACCAGCCCCCGGCTGCGCTGTCCCACTTGCCACCACCGGCCGCCCACTCAACCACTTGCTTACAACCTACAGGGACTCTTCAATTCTTGTCACAGGGGTTTGCGACGTTGAAAACGTCTGAAAGTCTGAACCTCGACCCCTAAAACCTAAAACCCGAAAAAACCCTAAAACCCTCAACCTAGACCCATAGCAGCTCTATAGAGCCCCAAGCCTGCATTTTCGGGAAGGTCGAGCCCGCCGCAGCGCAGGCCCTCGGATTTCACCTCAAGAGCTTGCTTTCCTCAGCTAGGGCCGGTTTTTTTTGCGGTTTAGGGTTTAGGGCTAGGGAAGCACAGAGTACCAGAAACTTGGACAAACAGAAACCAACAAACCAGGCCAGGGTTGGTAAGGTGGCCAACTACCAGTGGAGAACACCGATGCCATCTACGCCGAATCGACACAGCCATAGCATAGTGTTGGTGGCAGGTTTGGGGCCACGGGGATTTAGGGTTTTTTTGCACTCCGTTTAGAACTACAACTACTGCTGGATTAGGCACCTAGTCGGCCTTTTACCTCTGAGACACGAGGCGGCTGCTGCAAGCCGAAAGTCCCTATAGAAGCCCACATGCAAGCCCCGAGGCCTGCACGCCAAAAGCCCTGAACACCGAAACTCGAAAGTCCTCTGCGAACGTAGTCGAAGCTCCGAGGAAATGAGATCGGTTCACCTGGTGCATCTTCTACGCGAGCAGCAAGGCTGCTTGCAGGCTCCGGGGTTGAAGCTGCGATTTTTGGGGTAAGTGTGTGTGTGTGTGTTTGTTTTTTGTTTTGCTCCTGAAAATGCAAACGCAAATGCAGGAGCCTAGGTTAGGTGTCTGTATATGTGCATGTACATGTATGTGTATGTTTAAAGAGACAGGCAAACAGATTTATGTGTTTATGTCTATGTATTTAGTAAGCTAGCAGTTAAGCTAGTTGTATGTTCCCTTATGCGTCCCTACCAAGCTCCTACATCTTGAACATCTGGTTGCGGCGCACGCTCACAGCTCTGGCTATCCAGGCGAGGCTGAGTGCAGCAACCAGACGGCGACTGCCCAATACAACAACTTCCCAATGCATGCCGCACCCTGCTAAAGGAGATGTGGCCAGGTTCCGAGCATTACTAGTTGAGGACCACAATACTTTGGTCACGTCGTGGCCTCGGGCTGAATTACGGGTTTAGGGTTTTTGTATGGCCTAGGGAAGTTTAGGAGAGTTGGGGTGTAGATTGCTTGGTCGGTTGCCCCACGACCTCCCTCCTACATCGGCCCGACGGCCTCGCGATGTCTGCATGACTCCTGTGCATGCCTGCTGTGTACTTCTGCTGCATGTCATATGTCACTGCGGTGTGCCTCAGACCCCCTGCTATGAGGACAGCCGCTCTACTACCATCTAATATCGCTGAGGATTCACGCTCAGGAGGCAAGCCCAATGAAGGATCCTACTTCGTGTGAAAGAGATGGCCTGTGCCGCTGCCGGCAGGGCAAGCCAGAGGAAAAGCCACACCACCATTGCCTCGAGCTCTGGCAGCTTCTCAGTCAGGCTGAGGGTTTGGGGCAGGTGACAGCGTATGCGTTTCCACATTGACATGGGACATTGCTAGTGTTCAAGATTTCAAAAGCCAGCATAGGTTGAAAGACTTCAAGAACCCTCCTAACGACTTCTGTGACTTCGTCGGTATGACGACTAGTCCCAAAGCAGTGTGGCGACACTACCACTCTAAGTACACTAATTCTGCCATGAGCTCGCTGGAAGTATCCAGTTGAATCTGGTCAGAGCAATTGGTTGGCGAGATCCTATTAGGCCTCTGCGGTCGCAAACTTGATGAACCGCGCTCCCGCCACTTTTGTGGCGTGTTGGGTGATCGGCTGCTACAGCTGTATGTAGTCTCACTGAGTAGTGCATGTCCTCGAAATGTCAGTTTCTAAAGCTCTTGCTACACCGTGATAAGCTGATATTTTCAGTGATGCCCAGTGCCGCCAGCAAGCTTCCGAGGTCGGTCAGGTCTTCTGCCTGAACTGGGCACTTCTCCGGCGAGAGGCTTTCGGCGGAATGCACCAGCATGGTCCAGAACGGCAGCGGACAGAAGCAAGAGGCTGGAATGGAAAGGTTGATGGGCTTCTGGGCTAAAGGTTTCGGGAAGATTGAACCCAGGCCCTGCAGCGTCAAGCCTTTAACCAAGATCACAGCCGCCATGACCTTTGCGCTGAACGGTGCAGGCTTCTGACAGTGGCTGGCAGACTCGCCAGAAACGCGGGGACCACTTCGGCTGCCAGGCCCGACAAACCGTCTTTGTCCCCAAAGCGAGTCACTTGCAAAACAACAAGAGCCCACAGAACAGAAAAGCCGTCCAAGGCCTGGCCTCATCTTGTTTTACATTAAGATACATTACGGATAAAGGTTTAAGCAGCTGACTTAAGCCGCTTCTGCCGCCGGAACCGCAAGTCTCCTTTAGGGTCTAGGAATCAGGATGGGTCCTTCGGGCTTGGAGTCTGCACCCAGGGCTCCAACCCTGAACCCTAAACCCTAAAACTCTAAAACCCTAAACCCCCAAAGCCCTAAAACCCCTAAAACCCTAAAAGCCCTATGAAGACTGCCGGCCAGGGAGCGAGAATTGTTGGTTCAGGTACTCCAGGGGGCCCAGCTGAGTGTAAGATTTCTTCATGCGGTGCAAGACCAGCACGTTGTAGGAGAGCCAGATCAGCACACCTTTTTGGAGCAAGAGGCCCTCAGAGCTAGTATCCTTTTATGATGGTGCAAGGACGATGATTGTTCTTTTTTATATCTGTTCCTCGTACTTTCGCTGTTTGGGATCTTTCCCGGAACCATCAGAGCCCTGAAGCAAGGTATAACAATAGCGCTTACACGGCCCGAAGCGAAGGTAGCTCTTTCAGCCTGCCTCCCTGGACCATGCCTCCCAAGCCCCTACGCCGAAACCCGATACCTCGATCCTTACCTGGGTAGTTCTCTAAAGTAGGGTCCCTTTCATGCTTTTTATAAGGGGCGTAGTACTATTTGGCGGGGACCTTTAAAGAGATCCGAATTTGGAGAACCGCCCAAATCCCTACGCTCGAAACCCAGGTCACGTTGCACTTCCGATAACTCACATGGCAATTTTCCCTGCCGGTGCCTCCTTGCTTGAAATTTGCCCATGCGTGTCCACAGGCACCCGAAGCCCCAAATCCCACAAACTACACACCCGAAGCCCTGCATCCCGCACGCTACATCCGAAACCCTGCGCCATGCATGAAGCCCGGTACCTTACGTCCTTTTCTCCCCTAAATGTCTAAATCCCAAATGCCCGCCGAGGAAACTCTGCACTCCTTTTTGAGCCGTAAACCATAAGCCACAAACCACCGAAAAGGACCTCAACCCTGATCCCCACGGCATTTGCTCCCGAGCCGCTAAGCACCACCTTGGTGCCAATCAGGGCCAATTGCACCTTGTGGGTCATAGTTCTTGGGCACCCAAAATTTCTTTACCTTCTTTGTAGTTGCTTTGTAAGAAGTGTATGCAAGATGTTTTATGAGGGCAGGTTCTCCTGCTCGGGAGTGGGGATTTGAGCTCTCGGGAACACCGTGTTGGTTCTTGTTGGGCATTAACACTCGCACAAGCCAGGCAAGAGCTGTTGCGATTGTGAAGTCGAATAGTTGCGACGATCAGGATGCCAAGGCCTAGATGTCGTGTTGCGAGCGGTATCTAACAACAAATGCCCAGCCGGTCGCTGTCTTGCAAGCCCTCATCAAAGGCTCAACGTGCTCTGAGTTGAAAATCGGACTGCCGAACGCCAAATGCTGATGTACACCATTCTCAGACACTGAACGTGTTTCTCCAAAACATATCTATGCCCATGTGCTGTGCGATCTTACGACACCTATTGAACCGATTCCTAGAGCTCATGCTGTCTTTGCGGCCAACACCTGTCAAATGGGCTTGGGCCGGCACTGTCCAAGCCTTCGCGTACCTGAGTCGCGCACTCGCGCCAGCTGGCAAGGCTCTCCAGAACGTTCGGCTGTCCCGACTATTGCTACATTGATAATCGCTTCCCACTAATATTAAATCCCCCCCTAATATTAAAATTGCCGCCCCCCGGAATTTTGCCGTTTCGGGCCCACAATTGAAAGTTAATTAAAAACATTAGGTGGGGCCTAGGATTGTATGAGTTTTAATAGAGCCAAGATTACAGTAGTACTAAACCAAAAGGACCAGGGCTTTAGGGGTTATATAAGGGCTCAGGGCTTAAGACCCT